AGTCATTGACAGTCGTTACAGTCGCTTAATCCTGGTCCTAAACAGAACTCTTTTTGTTCTTCATAGCTTGTATTAGAAGAATTATCTAATTGGTATATCTCAATATTGTTATCTTCTTCAAATTCATCCTCCGAACTTTCATGTTCGGATTCAGAGTTTATCATTATCCTTTGTAGTGTTAATTTTAACTCTTCATTTTCTAAGGAGTTAATTTTTTTGTTGCACCCAATAGTTTTTTGCAATTTGACAAGGTTTTCCAAATTTCCAACAATTATTATTTCTTATTTGTTTCTTAATTTGTGATTTATCTTGTTGTTTTGGCCTATAAAAGGACTTTTGTTGTCTATGCTTGTTTTCATGATGGATTTTTTTGGAAATTATTTTTTAATTTTTCTGTTTTGCTTGCTAAGTGTTCTAATAGGTTGGAAACCAAAATCTTGGCAAAGAAGAATCCATCTCTTTTTGGTTTCCTAGTTTTTCTTTTCTTAATTGGTTTTGTAGTTTTGTATCTATACATATTTTTATGCATGTTTCAACAATTATATTATGTATTTGACCATAAGTTAGTTGTTCATAAGGGATTGTACTCCCTTCACACTTTGTTTCTAGATTTTAAATGACTTTTTGTTCAAATAATGGTGGAAGAGCGACAATGAACCTTTCTTTCCAAAACCCAGCTAACACATCTTCTCTTAACATTACTTTTGATAAAAACATATCTTTATACCATGGATAAGCAAACATAGTTGGGCATCTTAGATTTACTAATTGTAGAGATACTCATTCTTTAAAAATACTGGGATCTCCTATAAAGTGTTGTATTATAGTAAAAATAAGAGTGGATGTTGCATCTTCTTTTTATGTCTCTTGTTTAATATGTACTAATATTGCATTTTTACTGTCCGCAGATAACATATTATCCCACCATCCTCTTAATTGTCCTGTAAATCCCTGAACGATTGTTTCTGCTACAATTTTATCACTAATTCCTCTTATTTTATATGTTGTGACTGCCATAGCCATTTGTGTGATAAAATCTAAAATTGCTTGTTCACTTAGTACATCTAGATTCTATTATATTAGATCATTTCCAGTATAAGAATTTTGTACAAAATTTCTTTTTACTTCTAAAAGCATATCCGGTAAGGATGGCCTATTATAATATGGTTTTATTTTTGGGTGGTTATATTTTGTATTCAACTTATTTATTTCTATTGTATTTATAGAATTTTTTTCTAAACTTAATTATGATATTTTTATTTTTAGCTGCTCTATGTCTAGTTCTAGATTACTCTTTTTTCTTAGAGCTTCTATTGTTTTTGTAGGTAGTGTACCGATTTTTAAAATGAGTTTTTCTAAGCTTTCCATTTTTTTTATAGGATTCAGGCATATTGTAACACCATAAAATTTTAAATCCGTACAATGTGTATTTTATCTTTAATAATTTGAGATAAAATACAAATTTTGTGTATAATTGACTTTATTATAGCAAATCAATGAAGTTTTCTTTAAGATAGATTTGTTAGATTTTTTTATACAAAATTTTCATTCATATTTTTATATTTATACATTAATGGTACGACAATAATAAAAAATGATAATAAATATCATAAATTAGGATTAATTAATCTTATTATAACAAGTTAATAAAATTCACTTTATAAATGAGTTTGTTGTAAACAAAAATTTCCTATACATGCAATAATAATGGAACAACAATACTTTTAAAGATTATAATAAACCATAATCAAATTTCTAATTTGAGAAGCTGATGATGCATATAATATCTCAAGTATAATAATTTACAAACTGTTTGTCAGAATAACTGAAACTTAAAATAATATTTACACAACTAAAATAATTACATCATATAAACAAATTTTAAGTCCTAAAACGGTCTCAAGCATAACCCAACACTAAAGACTGGTCCTATTCATCATCCTCGTACTAGCTTTCTATCTTTGCCAAATCTTCAGAATCAAGGTCATCATCTGATCCAAGGTAACAATCGCCTGAATCAGCTATGACCTCTATACCAGTCACTTGCTCAAAGGTCTATCTAGACGGTCTGCCCAGATTATTGTGGTCGTGATAGGTAAATAGATAGGTGAGGGTTGCCGGAATTCTAATATTACCACTATACATATAGATACATAGGGTTGATTTATTCTACTCCTAGGAAAATCAAAAGGGATACTATAAAAGAAATTCATCTCTAACATAACAAAAGACTTAGGTTTATCTTCCACAAGAACAACAAATTTAAAATAACATACTCTTTGATATTCATTGAATACATAATTAAGCCTATTATGTACTAAACTATCTATTAGTCTAACTCTTTCCTGAGGTTTCGTCATCCTGTTTTCTTGAAAATATTAGTAAGGATGAGCGTCTATTATATCATTTACAAATCATTACATTACAAAATCATAATTTTAATATAAAGAAAATATATTCACTTTTCACACTTATTCATATTGTAAATACATTCACATATACATAACATAATAATTTATTATACGTTATTCATTCTCTCATTTTAATACGCACTCCCAGTACATTGTGATCATAGATATCGATGCCTCTAGCATTTTTTGAGGTCATATTCAACTAGGTAAATAGTCGCTAGTTAGTTCATGCACATGGATACAACGTATACAATAATTGAGCCCCTTAGCAAAGGCATAGTCAGGAGTCTAGTCAAGAAACAAGTGTGAGGCCATGTGACGCATTCGCTCTCAGAAAGAGTGTGTATATATACGCGAATGTCGCTCACCACCTTACGTTTCCCTAAGATTTCCATCGTCTCCAGACTCTATACCCCACTGTATCTCTGTAACTATTCACACTAGATCCAGTTCGTATCCAACACTTAAAATCATTCTTAGAGTTATCCTTTCTCCCATTCATAAGACCTTGCTTTGTAAAACACTTCCAGACAAAATCCATTCCACTCATTCCCTTATTATTATAGTTATAACTATTAAATCCTTCAGATCAATATCATTTTATCCAGACATATTCCATAAAATCACATCATAATCACCCAACAAGTTTGATAATATTTCACATTAATTGAGCATTGTATAATGCATATAAGCATGTAACAACCATTCAATCCAAATAACCAATCAGTTCAAACAAGCATCTTTTTATCCATTATTCACACCATAGATATTTCAACCATATATTTTTATGAAATGTCCATGTAAAGTGCTCTAATGAGCACACAATAAATACTATAATAAAACAATAAAATAGAGCCCTTCTTACCTCAAAGACAAGTTTACGGAGAGATATTGAAGAAGATTAGAATTTAAATATGGAAGTTCTCCTGAATACCAAGAGATATCCATGAGGAACAAAAACATGAAAAATGATTGAAGAAAACAAAGTTTTATTAAAAAAAAAAAAACTTACTTGGAATCGTTTAAACTCAACGTCCAAGCTTGGATTTGAAGAGAAATCGGAGTTTCTGAGGTTTTTCTCTGCAGAATAGAAGAGAGAGTTCAAAGAAGAATAAGGGAATGTGTGTTTTAAATGAAATGAAATTTTCATGCTGGAAATCTCTTAAATACTCCCAGCCCTGCGTGCTCTCGCTTGAGCGACGGATATCTCGCCTGAGCGAGATACGTAAATAGTGGTCTCATCCACTATTTCTTGATATGCTCGCTTGAGCGAGCTCCATCTCACCTGAGCGAGATGACGTCCAGAGAGCAGAATGTGTCCCCTGTGAGTCCTTGCTTGAGCGACCCATCTCGCCTGAGCAAGATCACTCTCGCCTAGGCGAAGTGACAGTTGGGTTGAATTTATCCTATTTTGCTTAAGCGAGATAGCCCTGCAACATCATATTTTTGGGCTCTCAGTCTTGCTTGAGAGAGATTTGCCTCGCCTGAGCGAGACCCCCTGTACCAGAATTCTTCCAAAAATCCTCTATACTTACTTCTAAATATATTCTAATACTACTTAATGTTAAGCAAAACATAATTTATTGAATAATGAAAGAGGTTGTTACACATATCTTCAATTCTAGTTAATTATTCTGAAATAACTCCTAATACAATATTGGTAAAGTTCATTTGTTGATGTAAATTGCTAATATCATTTTTCTCAATCTGTTTTTCTTGCAGATTGACTTCCTTAAAAGGTGATGCTTCTACTTTTATGAGTGGGGGGGGGTACTCTAATGATGTAAAATGTTCTTCTTCAATCTAGTTAATTGTTCATTTGTTAATGTAAATTGCTTCTACTTTTTCGAGTGGGGGTACTCTGAAAAGACTTCTTTTCCTATTGTAGTTTTCCATATTTTTTAACTACCCCTATTGGACATATCTCTTTTGAAAAAGGAAATTCTTTATCTAAGTGTTGTTCTAAACAATTAAAAAAGTAAATATTAATTTTTATTTGATATAGATAATTATAAATTTTTTATCTAAATTCTACCCATTGTTGTGTATCTGAATAAGTGGAGAAAAACCACTCTTTCTTCATTTTTTTGTATTTTGCATCTAAGTCTTCTTTAATCCAAGCCTTATTTATAACAAAAGGTTCTTCTCTTGTAAGAGTATTGATTACTTGTGATGTTATTGGGCTAAAATTTGAGTCTTTTTCAAAATTTTCATAAACATGAATAGAAACTCCTAATCTATTATTAATTACTTAAGTAATACCAAATTATTTGCTACTCAAACTAATCTCTATTAGTTAATTTAACTATTTTTTAATCATCATCACTATCATGTCTATATAATATTTAATGTGTCTGAGTTATTTTATTTATTAGAATAGTTAATGTCTAGATAATAATAGAGATAAATGATTGATAATCAAGTATATTAACGATTAAAATGGTTAATGATGGTATGTATTTTATATAAATTATACTTATTTTGATAAATTTTAAAATTATAAAAATTAAAATATTAACTTATCGATGTTTTACTTAATTTAAATATTATTTTGATATATTTTAGAAACAACAATAATAATAATATTTTATGCTCGTGCAGAGTTCATGACAAACCTCTTTTGACTGTTGTGGCTAGGGTGGGTCAGGTTTGACCCGTTTTGATATTGTGGCAGAACCATGCTTGCGCTTCCTCGTGGAAACCTCATGCTTCTCCATCACAGAAAGCTTTTGTCCTCGATACCCAGAGGATTCACAATGCAAATGGGTTCCGCACGAGCACTCTGTTCACACCGGGAAATGAAAGACTTACTGGATTACCTTGAGTCTCTCAAAAATTACGAGAAATTGGGAGTGCCCAAAGGAGCAGGCACAGATTCACACGAGGGGTTCGATCTTGGTAGAATGAGACGCCTCATGGAGCGTTTCGGCAATCCTCACTTCAAGTTCAAGGTTTCATTTCTCCTTCTCCCTATCTCTTGTCACACTTTATATATATATATATATATCTGAAATTTCATCAGCTAACCCAGGAAGTTAAAATGAGCAAGTTCTTGGCTTTAGGAATTTTTGTGTACTTTCAATCAGTTATATGCTGTTGAAGTAAGTGCTTACTCCAATTGTAGGCGGTTCATATTGCTGGGACAAAGGGAAAGGGATCAACAGCTGCTTTTATATCTAATATTCTGCGGACTGAAGGTTATTCTGTTGGCTGTTACACTAGGTGAAGTACCTTTATCATTTAAACATTGTGTTTGTTTTTTTTCTAATTTTTTAAAACAATTTTGCCTTCAATTATAGCTCTTTTACAGTTTTGTACATCATTGAGGACAGGCTTTATTTTTCTCAAGCAGTCCACATATCCAGACTATCAGGGAACGCATTTTAGTTGGAAGATCAGGCAATCCAGTCTCGGCGAAGTTGTTGAATGACCTCTTTCGTAGGATCAAGCCGGATCTTGACCAGGAAATGAAAGAGGAAAATGGTTGCATAAGCCATTTTGAGGTATTGAATGTTGCACCTTATTATTCGTTATTGTTTGAATGTTGTCAAGAAATTGTTGTGGTTAACTTCAAAGAGTTATGTTGATGAGATTCCATGGGACCGATTGATTGCTGGGACTCGACATTTTTTCTTTGAGACTGTTGCACTCTTTCTTGTTATTGGCCTGTGTTGTTACATTAAAATATTGCTGAAGATAATGTTTCGTTTTTTGAATATTTCTGCATACACCTTCTTATAGAACTGGTAGCAATTGATTGAAAGAAAGAATGGTTGATTGCAGCAAACCCAATTTTCCAAATCTGACCCAATGCGGAACTAGGAACAGAGCAAGAATGGTTACAATATGTTGCTGGATGCTTTGAGTGTTCCAGCTCACTCCCAAAATTCCAAGTATTACAATCTGATTCTCTTTCAGAGTCCCTCTCCTCTATTTCTATTTCTAGGGATTTAACTAACTTCTACTACTCTGAACCAAGGTTGTCAAACTCGAAAGTTTATGTAAACTTATGGTAAACTCTTTGCCTCATGTAAAAATAATATTCGAAAAGCCACAATAATAAAACAAAGCACCATAACATAGTTAAAACATACATAAATAGCCAAATTATATAATGACAATGTGATTTTGGTGCCCTGATTCCAAATGTAGCGTTTTGCAACTTGCAGATAGGGAAGAAGAGTGGTTCCCTAATTCCAAGTGGTGTCATATTGGTGAGAAAATGTGATTTCCCTTGTTTTATGCTGAACTTAGAGAATGGGGCATAAACTTGCAAGTTCATCTAAGTTTACTTGAAGTTCACTTTAGTTTACCCAAGTTTACTGAATAACGTGCTTACATGTGATTCGACATGATTTTGTTACTTGAGACTGTAAACTCATACAAACTCATATGAGTTTATGAGTTTTATATTGAAAAGGATCCTTAAGCTTTTGATTCCCTACAGCTGCTCTGTGCCTCCTCTCATAGACCTTCCTAATTGGGGCTCTATTCCAATCACCTTCACAATCATAGCATTGTATTAAAATCCAGGTGGAAATAGTTTTGTTTGCTAATTTATTCTCCCTATAGTTTTGTATGGGTATTTAGTATGTTAGAAATTATGTATATTGGCAACTTTGATCACTTATGGAGATGTTTCAGGTTTTCACTACCATGGCATTCATCTTATTTGCCGATGAGAGCGTTGACATTGCTGTTATTGAGGTTACTTTTCTATTTCATGTCATCCAGCAACTGCTTTATACAAACATGATATAGGGTGATTATTCTGATTGTATTGTTGTTATCCCTCCCCACCAAAAGAATATTAAGTTAATGTTCACTTTTAGCTGGGGCTTGGTGGTGATTATTGTGGTTGTTAATATTGGCCTCTCTTTTACCATTAAATCCAAAAATTGCAAGATGGCCTAAAATATACTATTTTTTAATTATATTCTACAGGCTGGGTTAGGTGGTGCACGGGATGCAACAAATATTATATCGAGCTCTGGACTTGCTGCGTCAGTCATAACCACTGTAGGTGAGGAACATTTGGCAGCTCTTGGGGGTTCTTTGGAAACAATTGCAATGGCAAAGGCAGGAATCATAAAACAAGACCGGCCAGTTAGTTGTTTCTCTCTGGATCTCTTTTGCATATTCATTTGACATACTGAAATTGACAAGATATAATCCATTTTTTGTGGACATCAGTACATTTTAATATTTTATAAATGCCAAAAGTTGATAGAAAGTGAGTGAACAGTGAAATTCAGAAGGGTTATTATTAATGAAATTAGGTAATTAGATCATGATGAGAACTAGAAGGTCTGGCCTACCCAGGGAGTCAGGGACTGTTGTCTCTTCCTGAGAGAAAAACTATTCTTCATTCCCAAGCCTCAGCTGTAATCCTGAACACTACTAAACATAATCCCTATCTCATCCTGCTTACTGCTTTGCACACTACCGCTGCCTGCTTCCCTATAACACATTTTGTAAGGAATCTATAATGGAAATAGAGAAAAGTGTGACTTTATTGCTGGACTGAAAATGAACTGTATGAGAAGGATCTCTGTCTCCTACAAGGGGTTCATCTTAATAAGGGGTTTCCCCTTTCACAACTAAGTTCTTGCCTGGTTCTCTCAAAGCACAATACCCTGAATGATCGCCCTAGCCTTACTTGCCCCTATTTATTTATCCAACTATTCCCCCTCAAATAAATAACTAAGTATCTAAACTAATTCCTTTGTCTTCCCTTTATTCTTCCAAGCAACTACCCTTCTGTTCTAGGTCCTCACGATACCCCCATGATGAAGTTCAAGTTTTGTCCTCAAGATTGAAATCTGAAAATTGGAAATGAATCAGACATTACACTCTCTCAAGTAACCTCATCTTGTGGCTGACATATCCATTTGCTGAGAGCATTTTGTTATATAAACAGGCTTGCTGAATAATGGTTTTTGGTTTGATTTATTAATTTTGTTTGCTGTTAATCTAGAGTTCAGTAAGATTTTTTGAGACTAAGATGTTCTATTAAACATTGGCTAAAGTGTGGAAATGACAGCTTTAAAACTGTGGTTTCTTTTGGCATGAAGTCAGCCATTTCTTCTATTTTTACCTTCGTTGTCATTGAGAAGAAAAAGGAACAAGAGACATAAGATGAATCTGACTTATGGTTACATGCTGGAGCAAATATTTATATAATGTGTCATTATACAAAGTGATTACAATTAAATACAAGAATATGCGCTTACCTTTTCCATATTTCTAACAGTTATTAAATGTGTAAACATAATTTGAGTGTCATTCATTAAAAAATAGATAGAGAACTCTGTTCTTTTATTTTGTTGGGCTTGGGTACATAAACTTTGTTCTTTAAAATGTCATTACATTGATAGATACTCCATTGTTTCCTTTATTATTTGCTGACTAAAATAATATACATTTCAGTTGGTGTTGGGTGGGCCATTTCTTCCTCATATTGAGCGCATTATTCGAGATAAAGCACTAACCATGGATTCACCTGTAGTGTCAGCTTGTGACACTGGGAATATGTGTACTGTGAAAAGTTTCAGCATACTCAATGGCAGGCCTTGTCAAATTTGTGATATAGCAATACAAATTGTAAGAGATTTGAAAATGGTATGCACTTGTGTTCTCTATCTTGAGTGTTTGTTTACATAATGCACCCGGGGGGGGGGGAGAGGTGTTGTTATCTGTTTAGAGGTGGCATCTTTTGATTTCCTGTGGCCATTGGTTTCTTAGGATGTATCTTATAAACTTGATGTGCAATTTTAGAGTGAACATTCTTTAAACCTGACACACTCAAGCACAGTATGAAGATAATGACTTGCAATGGTATTTAGTTGACAGGAATTTGTTTGTTACAAAAGTCGGAAATCTAAAATTATTACCAAATTAAAGAAAACTCTTCATGTTGAACTCTAATTGTAGTATTGTCCATTGTCATCTTTTCCACCGTGTGAGGTTCTAATTCTTTTTGCCCCCATATGTTTGTAATATTTTTTTTCTTTTTGCGTCAGATGATATCTTGTGTCTAATGTTGTTTAAAAAATCTGAATATTTAAAGAATTTGTGCACTGCATTGCTCTCCTACCTTGGCTTGGTATGTTATTTTAGCAGGTTCTGTTTACTGTTTCATTGTTGACCTGAGAAAGTTTATGAGCCCCTTATGAGTATATCTATTCATGTAGTCCTGTAAGTTACTTGATGTGAAGCTGCAAATGCTTGGAGGTCACCAACTTCAAAATGCAGCAACTGCAACTTGTGTGGCACTCTGTCTTCGTAATTTAGGTACAACTTTTTTACCTTCAGCTTAGCCATATCTAAATGTACGTCTTTTCTTTTTTTATTTGAACTGAATATATTCTTACTCTAGTTCTGAGGTTACTTGAGGTTCAGATGTGTGGATTACATCTATAATGGTTTCTGTGAAAGTCAAAGGCCTTGTCCCTACTATACCAGTGACTAAATACTTGAGTGCACTATGCGGTGGTATAAGCCTCATGCATTTTGTTCAGACACTGCATTAAGTTTTTTTGACCGATCTAATTTAGTTCATAGTTTTTCCCCTTGGTCCATTCTCTTTCTGCAGCCCTGACAAACCAAATCAAAGACCTTTTTGTATTGTTATATGTTGAGTCTGTTTTTTTTTAGGTGTAATATGACTTCTCATTCACTTTCTCCTTGTTTATTGGATAATTAGGATGGATTATTTCGGATGAATCTATTAGGTCTGGTTTAGAGCATACATACCTCCTTGGTAGGAGTCAATTCCTGAAATCTGAAGAAGCTGAGGTATTAGGACTTGCTGGAGCAACAGTACTGCTTGATGGAGGTTGGTGCTCTGACCTTTCTTTTTATTACCATGGGATGATTTTATATTAGACTAGACACATCCTTAATATATCACATTGTCCTTAAACATTCTTTTATGTTTATTACAATTTTTAATGGTAATGTGGTAAGAACTAAAATATTTCTGGGTTGGTGCCACAAATACTTGAGAACAAAGTTGTGATTAGTTGTATGGATATATGCTGTAGCCCACACCAAAGAGTCTGCCAAGGCACTGATGAATACAATAAAGATGGCATTTCCCAAGGCTCGATTAGCCTTTGTTGTTGCAATGGCAAGTGACAAAGACCATCTGGGCTTTGCTCAAGAGATTCTGTCAGGTAAAATCTTTTAATTTGACATTATAATTCAATTAAAATGTTATGTTTAAAACTTTAAATAGAATTTCATTAAGTGGGCTCAGAAGAGAGTGAAAGCCAGTTTTGTTATATGACAAAGCTTATTAATTGAGCAAGGACATAAAATATCAAGGTCGATTGATTCCTTCAGACCTCTAAATTTTTGTTCCTGTGTATATTGCCATCATTGGTAAAATGATTTGCCCAACACCCAATAGGTATTTTTGGCATGTCATTTAATGCTATTGTAAGAATACGGAACCGATTTGTTTTCAATAGTTTTCCTTTCTCTTTTAGGTTATTTTGCTCATTCAGAACCTTTTTCTCTTATTGTTTTTCTGATGACATCCATATAAGAACCTTAAGAGAACCACTACAAAAGCTGGCCGTTGTAGTTGAAGAGCCTGAGGATCTTATAACTAAAATCCTATACCTCCAATGTGGGATACTATTCCACTACCTTGCAATTAGATCAAAACATCCCGCCACATTGCACAGTTTGGGCACCCCACGTGGATCCTAGGCTCATAGTTATCAAATTGGGACTCATCGTGAATCAAACCATATCATGAATTGTAAAATTCATGACCAATAATTAAAAATGCCTTGAAAAGTATTTTAACATATATTTTTATTAAAAATAACTATATCATGGGAATTTAAAGTAAAATAACTCATTGTATAGCTAACAAATTGAAACAAACTTTAAATAGATAACAATAACAAAAAAGTTACAATTTCAATTCAGCTGTATATCTCCTTAAAAAGTACCAAAATAATTACAAATTTAATTTAATTATTATAAAAATATAAAGTACCTAAGCATCTATCTTTTGAAAATGAATTATTATAGTCATAATTATTTATTTCTTTTTAAATTAAAAACCTTTAACCAGCATTATGTAGTTTGTCCTCATCAAAACATGCATGCCCGTTTGACCCAAACAAATAAATAAATAAAAAAGCGGCAGAAGCATGCAGAGTGATTAGTGTTTTTCTTTCTGTCTGTGTAGTGTGTAGTGCTTGCTGTGTTTTTCAGTTTTGGGCCTCTATTGTTGTTTTGTTTAAGTTAGACCCAGTCTTTTGGGCCCTTTGGATGGTACGCTACTTTCTACCCAAAAAATGAAAAAGTAAAAAGACAGCTATGGCCTTTGTCCTCAAGTTTCCAACCGCAGACAGATTTCATCACTTTCCCTCTAATTTGAGTGACAGATTTGCCTAGAAGAAACCCTAAAATCATGTTTTCCAGAACTGGGTCCTATGTGATCCAACCCATTTTTGTGTGAACTGAGCTTGCAAGAATCGAATGATGCATTCTAGATTCTTGATTCTTGTGATTCAGATGTGAGTCAAGTGCTTCAAAATGCAATTCAAAATCAAATTCAATTTAGCTTGTGATTTGTATTGATGGCTCCTGGAGTCGCATCAAATTGGGATATGAATCATACGATTCTTGCAATACTAATAACTATTCCTAGCCCTTTTATTAGTCTTGGCCAGACACTGTACATCACTACCTACACTGCTTGTTTGTAGCTGATGGTGGAAGATTCTAATGCCAATTGATTAAGACCTTGGGAACACCACCACCAAACCTCTAGAAATAGTATGTTCATGTATCATGGGTTAATAGTGTCTGGGACTGTTCATAATTAATGTTAGCCTAGGAAATAGTCTCAGCTAAGTCAACTAAAAAACCTAATATAATATATGTATATATTAGATAGATAGATAAATGTCTTGAATAACCTGTTACTACATTCATACCAAATAACAAAGCATTCTCATCCGATAATTTCTTTTTAAAATATTCTTTTCTAGCTCTGTCTTCCTCCCCCTCTAAATTCAACAACGTTGTTTCAATTTTTGATCCGGGGTAATGAAGGAGTTGGTTGTTCTTAAATAAGGGGTGCACTTAAGAGTGAAAAATGCAGAGTTGTAATCATTGATTGAATCAATAGTTAAGATTGTGATAAAATATGCATGTATATAACAACTCATGATGTTGTAAAAAATTTACTGTGTTGATGTGAACAGGTATAATATTGTACTTTTCTCCGAGTGTACCTCTCACTTTAGAAGAGCTAAATTGAAAAAAACAATGCTGTTGTGTTTAAGCCTATAATACTAGTATCTAATGACAAGTTATGCTACTGCATTTGTTCAGGTGCACATGTGGAGACTGTTCTTCTGACAGAAGCTGCTATTGCTGGAGGTGTAACTCGAACAACTCCATCTTCTTTGTTGAGAGACTCTTGGATTAAAGCTTCTGACGAGCTTGGCATTGGAATTGTTCATGACGGAATGGCTGAATACAGGGAATTATTAAAGGAAGAGCCAGTAGGCTCTGATGATAAGACCATATTGGCTACTGAGTCGTCTTTAATGTGTTGTTTAAGAACTGCAAATAAGATTCTAATCAGAAGAGGGCATGAAAAGAGTGTTATCGTCATCACTGGATCTCTGCATATTGTATCCTCAGTCTTGGCTTCTCTCGCTGGTTAATGGCTTTTTTAAGTGAAGCTACTGAAACGAATTTCCCTGCAATAACAAACCAAGAATTTGGATGGCGTTGTGTGATTGATCAACATTCAACACAGGCTTCTCTGGGACCTCGATAAGCTTAACCATCATTTTAATACCAGAATAGTTATTAAATTATATTACGGTTCGACCGTCACGGAATAGTTGATAGTTGGATATATATTTTAATATTTTATATAATGTGTTGATTATTTTACATAAAACTGTAATATTAAGTTGGCTAGTATTTTTTGTTTTTTGTTTTTTGGTCCATAAGTTTGCTAGTATTTTAAATTAGTATAAAAGAGCTTTATTACAAAACTTGAAAAAGAAAATCATTACTAAGAGATAAATTATTTTGTAAGGAAGCCATTACGTAATAAAAATTCAGTAAGAGCCCATTAAAATTATTTTGTACTTTTTTTGCCCTAAAATGCTCCATAAAACAATTTAAATTAGCTTTTCTATTTTCATTTTAGATTTAGGAATAGCCTTTGGAATTTCACCTTCTCTCTTCACATTTCGTTTTTCCTCTCTAATACTCGAAGCTTCTGTATACTTTCACTTTGGAGTATACATCCATCACCATCTACGTTGAAGGCATTGTTACTCTCTGTCTGCATTCATTTCGTAGCATGTTTGGAATAGCTATAAAAATTAGATTATTTAAAGAATCGATTGTGTGTAGAATTGATTATGTGTAGAATTTTATTTTTTTTATATGTTTACTGAAAAGTGATTTTTAACATAATTTGTTATGTTTAGATGATATAAAAAAGATAATTTTTTTGTAAAAAATTATCAAAAGGAATATGAATTGGTTTAAACAAATGATTTTTAACATAATTTTTTATGTTTTGATTGTGTCACTTATTTTATTTTTATTTTTATTAGTGATTGATATTTAATTATAATTAGTTTTGATTCTTGAAATTGAACTCGTTTTTTTTTATCCTTCACATTCTTTTGATATGAATACAATCTTTGTAATGGAAAGAAGTTGATTCAAAGAAGCTCATAAATACTATTTTTTGAAGAAGGTATTGGTGGGTGTGGTAGTTAGTGACAATAAACTCTCCGTAAAGAAAGTGGTAAGGTTATTAATGAAAATTTTATTTTGTCTCAACAGCTTTATAAAGAGAATACCAATTTTTCAACGTTTAACCCAACAATTTTTCTCTTTAGAAAATAACATTCTGTAACTTTTAATTTTTTCATCTAAACATGATTTTAATAAGTACCAACAGCTTTTTTATCTCAAAAAAGCTGTTGAAAAGCTTTATCAAACATGCTCTTGTTCTTCTAAGTATTTGAAATTAGAATTTTACACTTCAAGAAATTAATTTTTCTCACTTCTAGAAATTGATTTTTAAAATTATTAATGTTTTGTAAAAATAAGTTTTTGAAATTAAGATTTTACACTTTTGAAAATTAATTTTTGAAATTGGATTCATGCTTTCAAAAATTAATTTTTGAAATTATTAACTATTTCTAAATATAATTTTCCAGAATTAAGAATTTAAACTTTGAAAAAATATTTTTTTGGAAATGTAAAATCTTAATTTTGGAAACCTATTATCAGAAGAAAAAAAATAATCTCATAAATTAATTTTTAGAAGTGTGAAAATATAATTCTAAAAATTAATTTTTTTGAAGTGTAAAATCTTAATTTTGAAAATTTATTTATGAAAAACTACTATGTTGTGCTTTTTATATTTTAAATGTTGAATTATGTGAGGATTTACATAAAAAATTATTATGTTTGAGCATTGTTGTTGTAATATATTTTATTAATCTGAATGCTACTATGTTTATGCTTACCTTTTTTTCATAGTTTTTATTTTAAATATTGAATTTTGTTAAGGTTTAAAGAAATAAATTATGTTGAGAATTAATGTTGTAATGTATTTTATTAATTGGAATGTGAGTATGTTTATTCTTACCTAACTTACTTTCCAAAAATATTTATAATTATATTATTTTTAATTTTAAAAAAATTTTATCTTAAAGTTCTTAATTTTAAATGTTGAATTATTTTAAGGTTTAAAGAAAAAAAAATATGTTGAGCATTATTGTTGTGTATTTCATTAATCTGAATGCTATTATGTTTATGCTTACTTAATTTTTGGAAAACGTTTATAATTTTTTAAACTTTAAATTTTTTAAAATAATTATCTTATAGTTTTTTTACTTTTAAATGTTGAATTATTTTAAGTCTTAAAGTAAAAATGATGTTGAGCCTTATGCTTACCATATTTATTTTCCAAAAACGTTTATGATTGCATTAATTTTAATTTCAAAAAATATTATGTTATAGTTTTTGTTTAATTTTGAATTATATTAAGGTTAAAAGAGAAAATTAAGTTGTAAAATATTTTATTAATTTGAATGTTAGTATGTTTATGCTAACTAATTTTTGTTTCAAAACCTGTTTTTAAATATATTAATTTTAAAAATTTACTATGTTATAGTTTTTGTTTTTTAAATTTTGAATTATATAAAGCTTTAAATAAAAATCTATGTTTAGCATTATTGTCATAATATATTTTATTAATTTGCATGTTACTATGTATATGCATTCCTAATTTCGGAATTAAGTTTCCGAATGCATGTTCTTACAAGCATCTAAAGTTTAATTTATAGAAGTTAATTTTTAACATACGTTTAAAATTTAAATTTTTTACTAAATCTGAAAATGATAAAAAAAAAAGAAACCATGATGACGGAAACGGAGACAACATGACAAACTCATAGTGATTTTAATTGTGATTTAATGAAAAAAAAAATAGTAGTGTTGTGATAAAGTATTAGATGATCATTGAGCGGGAGTCAAGATCAATAGAGACTCAGTATTATGATAATAATCAAGAATTATTATTGCATTGTTTGAGAATAATTTTTTATTATTATCATAAAGGACATTTAAGAAAATTACATAAGTTAATAATAATAATAATAATAATAATAAGGAGTATAAAAAGCAACCCCTGCATAAGGCTCTAGCAGGAGGGTCCAAATTTTAGAAAATAGCAAATAAATCTTATATGTTTTAAAATATTTTTCACTTTGAATTAAAACTTATTTCTTATATAAAAATATAATTTTAAGAATAAAATTGTTAATATACTTTTCATATACTATCAATATAAATTGTTTCACATTTTCAACTAATTATAAAAGTCAATAATGTATGATTGGATGATATTGTTAATGGAAGTACAAAAAATGATTTAGGTCTGATTTTCTTTTATCAATTTTTTCATTTTGCCGTTCGATTTTTACTATTTACATTGTTAAGTATATTTTTACTAGTGATGCCTCTTGGGCACAAACAAAACAAGAGCTTGAGAGGGATGAATGGACGTTAAAACGCATCATCAAAAGCTTCACGATTTATCCACTAATTAGGGGAATAATTGACCCTCTGAGACATGGGTATAGAGTGCAAATAGTAATCATTTGTTTCTTTTAGAAAGACGTGCTTGCCTGTATCATTCTGAGTCAAATTCCCATAGGGATCTTTTGACAACTACCTTTAGGGAATTTCTCAATATTGTGCTATGAATCTTTCTAACTAGCTCTTTCTCATGTTTTATTTTGCTTCTTCGAGGGAAATACTGCTTATGAGATACTTTTGATACTGTCTCCTCCTGAGTTGGCATCATTAATACCAAGAAATTGCCAAAAATTGGCCTTTAATCATATATGCATCTCTAACAAACTTCCCAAAACATTTGTACTTTGTAGCGACATTTGCATAGTTTTAGCCTCAGTTCTGTACAAAACTTTTCATCTCTTGACATTCATGTGTCACATGTTCTGTATGCAGATAATCCCTTCTACGTCAAATAATAAAATTTAATGTTACTCCCAATTTCATTTATATTTTATCTCTCTTAGATCAATGAATCCCCTCCTATGAAGTTATAGAACACATATTCACAACAAAACGTAAAGTTCAACTCTAACAAAACCGATACCACCAATGAACAAGTAAAACAACCAATAATTCCAAGGTTTAAATCTCATACAACAACAACAACAACAACAATAATAATAATAATTAAGAAAAGGTGTAAAAGAAGGGTATCTGGGAAACAAAGGAGGAGACCTGAATAGCAAAAGAACCCCATATGTTTGAAACATTGAGTTCCGTGGTTAAATGTGGGGCTAATTTAGAAGCACAAGACAGCAAACACACTGCGTAATACGCCGTTATTGCTAGTAGTCACTATCATGAACAGAGGGAGGTAATTCAAATTTTGGCATTTTGTGAAGTACTGGAAATGACAAAAGCCAACAATAACATTCAAAATTATTGTGCTGGAAGGTACACCCTTATTTTTCATCTAAGTAGGCCACAGTTATGCTATCATTGCAGGGTGGTTTTGATGTAAGATATGTCTATACATTTTGTAAAGGAACAGGTCCACCCACCCTGTCCCATTCCAGACCATTATGAAAATTGTCTCTCAAATGGGGATTATGGTTGCACAAGAAATGGCAGGTATATTTTTCCTATATGAAGAAAATGAATAATCTACTCAATAATACACTATAACACAATATACAACAAACGGGTGCATCATTTTCTCTGGTTTCTGGATGTTCCTGTGCACTTTATTGTGAATTATATATGACTGCATTTTCTCAACTACTATTTGTAGTTTCATTATTGCTGACTAGCCATCAACTAGCCTGGCCAATGTTTAGTATTGTTGTTGCTATCAAAATGAATGATAATAATAAAAATGGTTTGCTTTGTGTACAATCTCTTTTGTAGGGATCAAAGGAATTGCTCTAGGCCCGGATGCTCCGATCCTCTTGCAAACTCAATATTATTCACTTTCTTCACAAGAACAAATGCATGCCCTTCAACTAAACCATATGCAATATTTTATTACGTTAAACACTGATTTCAAAACGTGGAAAATAAACGAGAGATATATCTTTCGACAAACCAAATCATATATACTTTAAATTTAATCACAAGGCTTCGGACTTACATTGCAGAGCTATTAGAGTATCGTCTAGAGATTTAAACTTTGCATTCACTTACAGAAATAGTGAACTAGTTTGAGAGCGTATATTGGTTTCTAATTTCATCCAAGATTTTTCTTTGTTGTTGGTGATATGGGGCAATCCAGATAAACTTAATATTTTTGGACATTCCCAAATAATAGTCCAATAAGTATTCACACATGTATTTAATATTCCATTCACGCTTATCATAGTGAATCATACTGAACCTTTGATA